GCCAACTATAGGACCTTCTGGAAAAGGTTAAACTCACAGGGACCATAAAAAGCTACCAGGGGTTTGGAGGGAGGGAGGGATGAGTAAGGGAAGCACGGGCGATTTTCAGGGCAGGGAAACTATTCTATTCTGTATGACACTATAATTGTGGATATGTATCATTATATCTCTGTCAAAACCCACAGAATTGTACAACACAAAAAGTGAAACCTTGGGGCACCTGGCTGACTCAGAGCATGTAACTCTTGATCTCAGGGTTGTGAGTTCGAGTCCCAGGTTGGGTATAGAGATTATCCTTTAAAAAGATTTTAAGAAACTGAAGCCTAATGTGAACTATGGATTTTAGTTAATAGTGACATACCATTACTGGCCCATTCACTGTAATAAATGTGCCACACTAATACAAGATATAAATAATGAGGGAAACTGTGTGTTGAAGGGGGAGGGAGTATGTGGGAAGCCTCATAAATTTTTCTTTAAACCTAAAACTGCTCTAAAAAAATGAATTTTTTTTTAAAAGACCCATGGCCAAAATGGTGGTGACCCAATGTCTTATAAGCTCACCACATTCCTTTAAAAAAAAATTTTTTTTTTTAAGATTTTATTTATTTATTTATTTGACAGTGAGATCACAAGTAGACAGAGAGGCAGGCAGAAAGAGAGGGAAGCAGGCTCCCTGCAGAGCAGAGAGCCCAATGTGGGGCTCGATCCCAGGACCCTGGGATCATGACCTGAGCTGAAGGCAGAGGCTTCAACCCACTGAGCCACCCAGGCGCCCCAAGTTCACCATATTCCTAAACCTATACTTCCGATCTTCTGTCTTCCCATTATGTCTCTAATAGAGATTTATCTGCCTTGAAGGATTCTTGTTCTCAGTCAGGAAGTGGGTTTCCGGGGACAGGAGGGTATGCTAAATATGGACGAGATCATGGAGAGAATCACGGGAATATCAGGCGAAACCAGTTGTCCTGTTTCGAAACCGGGTTTGCCCTCTTGCTCACTCCAACATTCATTCATTCCACAGTGTTTGAGCTTCTACTCTGAGCTATGTTCTGTGCTGGGAACTGACAGTGTAACTGGCAAGATGTCACAGCGCCTTCCCCCAAGGCAGTCCCAATCCAGAGGGAGAGAATGACAAGTAAACAAGCCATGACAGGGAGAGTTTGTCATGTTAAGTATTACATCTACATTGCATACATGTACATTGAGGGATCTGGGGGGAATCCTGGGGAAGAGTCTCTAAGCTTGCCTAGGTTTGGTCAAGTTAGGCTTCCCTCCCAGAGGAGGTGACATACAAGCCAAGCCTCAAAATGAGGGGCAGCAGTTAAGAAGGAATGGAAATGCCTCCTGGGCTTGATCAGAGATCTGGAAACAAAAAAGATCAGAGCCCATTCGGAAGCTACAAGTTGGTCACTGTGGAATGTAAATAGACAGCATGTGTACGTGTGCACGCCAGTGTGTGTGGAGGGGAGCAGGGGGGCTGAGAGAAGTGGAGGATAGAGGTGAAAATGGGCTGGCGAGGCAGGCAGGGACCAGTCAGACCCAAGCCTTTGACCCTCTCAGTAGTGTCTACTCAGCCCAGGCAGACCCGAAAAGCCTGCTCCCAAGAGTCTGTGCCCAAGGCAGATGACGCGTCTTGGGGAGACTCACCAAGTCTCTTTTGAACACATTTGGTAGAAGAAGCAATCCTATAATTACCATGGTGATAATTAGAGGAACTTCCATCGCTTCTTTCAACAAACATTGCATAAAATGTGGCTCTCTCACCTTCAGGGCAGGGGTGGGGTGGGGTGGGGTGGGGAAGAAGTCAGGCATCCCTCATGGGGGAGGCCAACGCCTGCATCTTTCTCCTGCCAAGGACACCTGACTACCTTGCTGCGGCCCAGAGGTGCCATAGATGCACCTGGGACAGCTCCGCCTTGGAGCTGAGTGCTGCTGGCGGAGGCGGGGGGACGAGAGTCACTCCCCAGTTCCCCAGGCTGAACAGACTCTAGCCTTTATTTCAGTCTGGCCTTTAGGCCTGCAGAGAGCCCGCCCAGGACCTGGAGGTGCCTTCTACATCTTGGCCACTTTAGCCTGAGATGCTCAAGCCACTAGTCTCTAGGCTCACATTCCATCTTCCTAGGACCACATACACAGGGTCTCTGTGGCTTGGACAGGCTCCTAGGCCGACACATGTTTCTTATATGATCTACATTCACATGTATACCCAAGAGACATCTTGAGGGCCTCTGGTTTAGATGGAGAGAAGAAAACGTTTCTTCTCATTTCTGACCCCATACCTTCACCCCAACCTCTTCTCCCTCCTTTCTTCTACCATATATTTCTCAGTGCCTAGAATGGTCCCATTGCTTCTAGGACGGCCTAGACTTTCTTCCCTCAGCACCCCGTGGCCCATCCACCCAATACCAACAACTTTTCACTTGGCTTTGCTGTTAATGACTCACTGGGAGTGAAATCCAAGCGAATTGCCTGAAGGCTCCGTGTCTCTTTTTGTCTCATTAGTGACATGTCTGGTCTGTTTTGTTCTTAGCCTTCCAGACAAGAAGCTTCTGCATCTTTCAAAGCCACTTATACCTATGGCTTCTGGCCTTTCCCATGGGGCCTGGAGCCTCACCTCATGCTCCTTTGAGACTCAGGATGACTGTGTGTCACATTTAAGGGGATAGCTGGTGTTCTGTAAAAACACCTGGCAAAGCTGTAAGAGCTAAACGAACAGCAAGAATGTAGGCTCTCTGCCTTCCTATCTCCCCGTGATATCCCTACATCCAGTGGTGTTTATAGCTGGACAGATATTTGCAGGTTAGTATCTTTCTGCCAATGGTCAGAGGAAGGACCTGGTATTTTCTTGGGACCCTGCCTGCAACCCTCTTTGGGACTTTGATCTTATCAGTTGGCTCTTTGCCAGGCCTCTCTGGTGGAAATTCAGGAAACGTGCTGAACCTGACTGGTCCTGGCACCTAGCAGTGGGGGAAGGAGGAAGAAGGAGAGATTCCTCCTGAAGGAAAAGCGTACTTGGCTTTCTCATGAATGGGTTCCCCTTGGGGAACAGGCAAGCAGCAGATGTATGGGCAATGGCCAACTGATCCATTTGGAGATAGATTCAGGGTGTGGTGTTCCCTGTAAGCCTGGGCAGGTCCTGGGAAACAGGAGCAGAGCTAGATCTGCTAGCCGAAATTGGGCCTGAAATTGGGCAAGCAGCGTGGAGCTTGAATATGCTGGTTTCAGGTGTGCGAGCTCTGCTCCCAGTGGAGACTGGGTCTGGGGAGCTAGTGTGTCTGTTGCTCAAGCATGCTTCTCAAACATGGAGCTGCACTGATCATTTTCTTTTTTTTTTTTTTTAATTTGATTTTTTAAAAAAAGATTTTATTTATTTATTTGACAGACAGAGATCACAAGTAGGCAGAGAGGCAGGCAAAGAGAGAGAAAGGAGGAAGCAGGCTCCCTGCTGAGCAGAGAGCCCGATGTGGGGCTCAATCCCAGGACCCTGGGATCATGACCTGAGCCGAAGGCAGAGGCTTTAACCCACTGAGCCACCCAGGCACCCCCGCACTGATCGTTTTCATTCATGAACACAGTAACCAGCAAGGAGGCTTGGCTTGGCCTTTCAGAATCTCACTTCAGAGCAACTTATCAGTCCCTTCTCTCTATACTCGCCAGCACAAACCGTCCATCCCACTCCTGGATCCAAGCTCACTCCAGGCCTTCATAACTTTGGGCCTTGCCTCATGCCATTCTCTCTTCGTAGAATGTCTTTCCTCCTAGGAGACCACTAGTGTGGTCCTGGAGAAGCAACCCTCAGTGCCCAGAGGCTCAATACGTCTCTCTCTCCTCTCTTCTCCTATGCCCCAGACTCACTCTGTTGGTCTCTGGTCTAGCCCTATTACGTTTACTTCGTGCCTGCCTCCAGTCATGCCGATGGGCAGTTCCCTGAGCTTTTTGCTCCTGCATGACCAGCTCCTTCTTATCCTTCAGGTGTCAGCTCAAATGTCATCTCCTCAGCTAGGCCTTCCTTGACCATTCATACACATTCTGCCCCATTATCTGGAGTTATCATCTTCATGAAACTTAGCATCTGAAATTATCTTCACCTATATGTTGGCCTGGACTATGTCTCTTCCTCTAGAATGTAAGCTCCTGAGGGCAGAGATACAGCAGAATCAATTGATACGTGGTTTGTGCCCAATAAATATGTTGATTGATTAAATGAAGGCAAGTATGGGGTATTCGAGTTGTCACCCTGAGGCCCTGGCACAGAGCCTGGCGCAATAAAGTTTGGCTGCATGGAACGTTTGCTAGACGAATGAATGAACCAAGGAACAAACCAAGCAAGGGATGCCGCGATCTGATTACTGACTGACAGGTTGACTGACAGTTGGGGGACGCTTGGCCCGCACACTGTTGATTGACGACTGACAGCTGAGTGGCAGCCAGCGGACCTGCATCGGGGCTCCTGATTGGCTGGTTGCTGCAGCCCCCTGAAAGGGGAAGGGGAGGGGGCCTGAGGCTACTGCTCGGGGTGCGGAGGAGGCGGCACCAAGCGGCGGAAGGCGGCCCAACCGCCAGAAGCTGTGCGAGCAACAGTCGCCTCGAACCAGCAAACCGACGTCTCGCGCAAGGGCCCGGCGCGAGGGGCGGGGCGCGCGCGTCACGTGAGCGTGTTTTGGGCACGTGACCCGCGCGGGGCCAAAGCTGGCCCCCGCCCCCTCCTCTCCTCCCCTCAGCGGGTGTGAGCCGAGCGGCCTCGCCTCACCGCCTAGCGCCCCCCTCAGCCGCCGCCGCCTCCGCCCGCCGGCCATGTCCCCCGGCCGCCGCCGCCGCCGCTCGAGCGCGGCGCTCCGGTGGCCCAGCGCGCAGTGAGCGCGGGGCCCTCTCGCTGCTCGCCCGCCCCGGGGCCTCCTTGTTCTCAGCGCCGCCGCCGCCGCCGCCGCCGCCGCCGCCATGTTGGGTTTAGAGCCGCAGCGGAGCCGCCGCCGCCGCCGCCGGTGAGGGAGGCCGAGAGCGGAGCCCGCCCCGCCCCGGGGCCCAGGGAGCGGGGCCGCCTCGGAGCCCGGCCTCTCCCCGCCAGACGCCTTCCCGGCCCGCCCGCCGTTCAAGCCAGCGAGCGAGCGCCGGGCCGCGGCCGCGCCTTCCGCTCCCGGCCCGAGCGAGCCCGCCGCCCGTTCGTTCCCGCGCCGCCGCCGCCGGGCCCGGCCAGAGCCTGCAGCGGAGCCCACGAGAGTCAGCGCCATGGCGGAGCAGACCTACTCGTGGTGAGTGCGGGGCTTGGGAGGCCGGGGCGCGGTGCAGGTGGGGGTCGGGGCGCCGGCGCGGCCGGGGGCGGTGGGGGAGAGGAGGAGGAGGAACAGGTGCGCGTTGGGGGGGGGCGCGGGTTGGGGGTGCACGCCCCCCTCGTCCCCACCAGAGGGGGCGGCTGGCCCTCGTGGCGGACGGTCAGCGGCCGGGGACCCAGAGTCCAAGACCGGGGATGGAGGCGGCGGCGGCCTCGGCGGATGTCATCTGGTCATGGGCGGAGCAGGTGATGGAGAAGGGGAGCATGACCCCAAAGGTGGGAAGCCCACGGATGGGAAGTTGAATCCCGTGGGCACCCCGGAACTGACTTGAGGGGGTGGCTTCTGGGCAGGAGGATTGAAGGGGTGGGCAGAGGCGGGCCGGGGCAAGGGTGGGCCACCGGGCTGCGAGGAAGCTGATGGGAAAAACAGGTGATAAGAGTCTGAACTTGGAAGTTGTGAGAGAGGAGGAGCCGTCTAACTGGGGGCCGCTGCTTATTAGCACCTGGCTGGCGAGTGAAGGGAGAGTTGGTAAGGTGGGCAGAGGCTCGGGTGTAACCGAAGGAAAACCGCGGAAGGAGTGTCTTGGGAACCATGGAGGGGAGTCCCGTGTGAAGATGTTGGAAGGGGATCCTGTTTGGATAACCACGTTCTGGAAAGGAAGTCGTTGGTGGCAGTGGGGCATGAGTAGAATCTTTGTGAGGATTGGTACTCTCTTTTAAAGTGGCCTGCTGCCCTGGTTCAAGTATGGAGATGGAAGATCTGCTAGTTATGTCCATTTTTGTGGGACTTCTAAAGTTATTAAATAGATTGTTAAGGATTGAGAAGTGTATTCTGCAGCTTATGGAGTGAGAATTTACCTCTCCTGAGAAGGGAGTGCAATGTTTGGGGAGAGGGGGCTGAGAGGCCTCCCTTTAGCATGTGGAGGTGGAATATTTGCAGGAGGGGTTGAAGGATAATGATAGTTTCCTTGAAGAGTGGAAATTGGACAGTGGGGAGGAAGTAATAACCGGAGGTTAAGGAAGGAAGAAATGGGGTAAGTGTGGGATGGGAAACCTGGTTGCAATCTAGAGAGATTGTTTGAAGATGGTTTTACTCTTCGAAGCAAACGTGATTTGGGACAGAATTGTACTGCTTTCCCTTGTTAGAAAAAACACAGTTGGGAAGAGCATGGCTTTTGGAGTTGGAAGACTTTGTTTGGAAGTCCTGTTCATCACTGACTTGCTTTATAACTGGGCACGATAGTAAGTTCTCCGTTCCCTTACCTATTAAATAGGGAATTGCCTTTTTCATAGGTTGTAAAGATTAAATGAATAACTTTACAAAGCACATGACAAACTGTAAAGTGTTGCATTTTATTACATTATAGCTAGGGAAACAGCAAAGAAATGGGTAATACATGAAAATAAAGAATGGTTTTAGGTAAAGGGCTTTAACGGAGTAGATATTTTGTGGTGGTTGAGGTTATGGTAGGTAAGTCAGGAACTCTTTGTGTCTTCACATAGGGAAAGAGGGTTAGTGATGGAAGATGATAATTCAGAAGGGAACTTCAGTGCTCAAAAAGAAGATAACTGAGAGTCTGCAAAAAGTAACACTAAAAGAAGAATTAAAACATTGGTGAACAGTTGTGACTGCAAATGTATTTTTAAAAGTGTTAACTAATTGGATAGTTTTGAGCAGCAGTGAGCTGTTTCTCCTTAACAGGTATTAATGGAACACAAGATCACAGTTTGAGCTTTCTTATGGACCAAATTAAGTCCCATAACTAACTTAACTAACTCATCTTGAGCTCTTAACATTGACTGGCCCAGCTGAGAGTTCTGATGGGTGCCCTTCTGCTTTTATTGTGCCATACAGAGACTGAATGGTTGAAGGGGTAAACACAGGGGCCAAGAAGTGGGGAAAATGAACATGTTTTGCTAGATATTTTGGCCACACACTATGTGATGTTGGACAGCTCTACTAGTTAAGGGGGGACTACTTTGTGAAGTTTGGTGTTTTATAATATTTATCCTTCTGAAATACTTCAATCTTAGCTGCTTTTGCTTTATAGGCAAAGAAGCTTCTTGAAATCAGAATGGTTATTAGCCTGCCACCTTTAGCAAGTTTTGAGACGGTGAAAGTTTTTATAGCATCTTGAGAGAGGGAGGTGTTTGAGGAGGGAGGATTGGGAAACCAAAGAGCATTCTAGGTTCTGATAGTTACCATAGGTAATTATCCATGTAAGGTACACGTTTAATTCTCACCAGTCCCTGAGGTAGGTGACCATTCTGTTTTTTTGGAGGAGGAAGCTTAGGCTGAGGAGAGCAAGTGATTTGTCCGAGATACTTCACCTGTGATGCTTTATTTTGTTTGACACAAATTCCCACATCATTGTTTTCATTCTCCTTGTAATATAAGTGTGGAAAAGGTATTCCAAAAGTACATGTGAACTGAGCTTTGGATTATCTCTCGCTTTGCAGTATCTTTGTCACTGTTCCTTTGGTTCATGTAAATAGGAGTTGATTTTTTTTTTTTTTTTAACAGACTTTTACTTCACTCATTTGTATGTGGCCTTTAGGAAAATCAACCTTGTGGGGACTATTGTGGCAGTATAGATTTGTCTGAGGATGAAGTCAGTGAAGAATGTAGAAAGTAGATGTTAGAAGAATGAGAATAGGTTCCTTAGGATTTTCTTTCTTTTTTTTTTTTTTTTAAGATTTTGTTTTTAGAATCTCTACACGTAAGTGGAGCTCGAACACACAATCCTGAGATCAAGAGTCAAAAGGTCCACTGACTGAGCCAGCCACGTGCCCCAGGATTGTCATAAAATGATATGTAAATTATAAAGCAAAATTGGCCATGAGGTGGTGATTGTTGAAGCTTAGTGCTGAGTACTTGGAGGTTTATTGCCATGTTTACATTTTTCATAATAACAAGTTAATTTAAGAAAACTAATACACATGTTGTTCATGCAGTTTTCTGGTTTCTCGTGCTTGCTTTCTGTGTTGAGAAGCCAGAATGGGTGTGCTGAATTAAGAATATGTAGATTATGACCTGATGAATGAGGGGGCACAGGCCACTCAGGTAGTTGGCAGGTAGCTTTCTCAGCATCTGAGCTCCCACTTTGGGGAAGGGAAATCCAAGGGGTCATTGCAGTTGAAGATGCAGTTTCAGTACACCCATACAGTGGAAGTACAGTAGCCCCCGTTATCTGTGGGGTTTACATGCCAGGATCCCAGTGGATGCCTGAGGTTGAGGGTAGTATCGAACCCTATATGTGCTGTGTTTTCTCTATATGTACATGCCTATGGTAAAGTTCAAGTTATAATTTAGGCCTTGTAAGAGATTAATAACAAATAATAAAACAGCTACAACAATACACTGTGATAAAAGTTATGTGAACGTGGCCTCAAAATATTGTACTGTATTCACCCTTGTAACATACGAGATGATAAAATGCTTATGTGATGAGATAAGTGAGATGAATGACATAGGCATTGTGACGTAGCATTAGGCTACTATCGACCTAAGGACAATAGGTAAGGAGGAGAATCATCTCCTTCTAGACTGGTTGACCCTGGTAACTGAAACCGTGGGGCTCAGTGAGCCAGGGAAAGGGCAGTCCTGTCCCAGGTCACAAACAGGAGATACAGAGTAGGGTAGCAAACACCTATTACTTATAAGATGATGGAGGTGGAGGTCAGTAATTGGGGGTCTTACTTCTAGAGGTTATTTTTAAAGGTGCCCCGGGGAAAAGCAAAGCAGGGACTTGTGGGCCTCCTAAACTCAAATCGTTATCTAAATGTCCAGACTCTGGGTGTGATTACAGATAATCATACTGTAAAATGGCTGGGCATCAACTCTGAAAAACAAAATTCTTGTTTTCGAAAGTTGTTTTCCTCATCACACTTTCTTCCAGCAAATTCTATCAAAATCCCATTACCCAAGGTTCACCTGAAATTCCACGTAGCTGAGAAGCATTTTCTGAACACCCCAACTGAAATCAGATCTCTTTGTTTGGATACTTGTAGTCTGTCTGCATCTTTCCTTCCTTTACTTGTGTGAATACCTAGCTTCTTCATTAGATTGTAAACTCCTTGAGGGAAAGGACACTGTTAGACTACCCTTTGTCCTCCCATATACTTAGCACATTGTCTTGCCCATAGCTTCTACTTAAATCACGCTGACTGAATATGATAGGTTTAGAGGGTGGTTCTTCCTTTGTTGAAAGAATATTTTAAGTGTAAGGGAAAGCTACAGATAGATAAGTATTTATTAAAATCCTTGTACTTATAAAAGAGAGCTTTTGGTAACTTAGTTTCCTGGTGTCACAGTGCTGTAAGAATGAGTAATGCCATCCTTAATAAAGTTTTAAATAAACAGATGAAATTAAAATAATTGGTAGTAACACCACAGTCTTTATCACCATGTACCCACAAGATTCAGCTTGTGTTCTTTTTACTTGTATACTGAGGAAGTAAAAGAACTCATGTGAAGACACAAATAGAAGGTGCAAACTAGATTTTTATTAATTTGAGAAAAACACCTTGCTCAATATATATTTGTGAGCGTTATTTTAGCAAAAGTTCTGTGGAAAACAGGAACTTGTCTCCCTCTCTCTCTCTCTCTCTTTTTTTTTTTTTTTTTAAGGAACTTCTCTCTTGATGAAGTCAGTGCAGTACTTCAGTCTTGGTGGTAAAAATGATTTATGTTAGGATTAATATTGGTGTAGAAAGAAAAGGGAATAAGTACATGTTAACTTCATCGAGATGAATTTTGTTACCAGAGTAGTATCATAATATTTTATTGTGTGTTTTCTGGGTGCTAGGGCTTTAAAGAATTGCTAAGTAAGGAAACTGAGGCTCAAAGAATTTAAGTAACTTGCCAAATAACATATAAATGGTGAAAGGGCTCAAAGTCAAGACTGTTTAATGTGACGATTCTGTCACTGAATTTGTCTACTTCCATTTCCACAATCACTCCTCTAAGCCAGCCCATCT